TGCTGAGGCTGGGCCTGGTGCGGAGGGCTGTGGAGACCCCGGGGAGGGGGGGAAGGCTCCAAATCTGTTTGAATTTCCTCTTCTATTGTCTTCTTCCGTGTGAGATAACGCCTAGCCTAGTTGTCTGGCTTCTATCTTCCTGATAGCTCCCTTGTGCTTTGTGGGTGTTGCTTATTTTGTACACGTTTGCCTGTCCCCGGCCTGGTCACTGTGTGGCTGCTGGTGGTTAGCCCTGTTTTGGAGAAGGAGGGCCTCTTGCGCTGACTCCTTCCTCCAGGCCTGTGGGTCACACAGCTGAGTCAAGTCTATGGATGTGTCTCTGTACCCTGAAACTTTTCTCTTGATGTGTTGGCACATCAAAGCAGGCATGATTTAGTGTTACAAAATGGACAGATGGAGAATTCAACAAGTGTCAGTTGTGCTTAACAGTATGTAGCTGGGTGGGAGAGAAAAAGGTTATTAGTCTTCATCGGTTTAAATATTGGTTTAAGTCTTCTGATGTTTAGCTATCTGTTTTGCCCGTAACTCTTGCAAGGGTGGTACAGAAAGCTCTTCCTACTTAAACAAAACAAATAGGGTAATAGGAGTACAATTACTTACAGGAAAGAATTAACTCAAAAGTGATTACACTTGCTGTAGTTCAGACAACTCTCTGATATGTCATTTATGCTTTGAGAAGCTTATTACCTTTCTTAGGGTTAATCAGCTCAGCTAATAATGAGATACACAGAAGCAAATTACTTTCTGACCAGAAGTTATAGGCTGCTCCCTGTTTGAGTTATGTCTGGTCATATACACACCTGATTAACTATTCCAGCAAAAACAGCTGCTTGCATATGAGTTAAATTCATAATAATTTCCACAGCTACACATTCCTATATTGTGTATGTGACAACTGCTATTATTCAAAGGAATTTTTTGGACCTTGTGGGATAAGGTCTCATCCTCACACTATTATGTCCATTTTTACTGCCATCCTGAAGTAACTTTCCCTGGTAATGGGGACATGTTCATATCCCTTCATATATTGTAAAACAAGGCTGAGGTAGTGCCATATACGGAGTTTTGAACTGCTTGCATCTACCCTGTGTTTCCAACAAAATGACCTAATTAAGCTGTTAGCCTGAAATGGAGATCATAATTTTGGTATTGATCAGAAACTGGTTATGTTTTTTTTGTTAAAATAACATGTCTGCTTGCTTGTTGCCAGGCACTGGATGACCATAATTAAACAATGTCTGTACCACGTGGAGCTGTCCATGCAAAATGGATAGTAGGGAACCAAAATGCAGAAAACTGCCAAAGTGAGAGTGACAAGGCTTGTGCTAGATCCTTACTTACTAAAGGTAAAAGCCAGTTAACAACTTGTCTTGCATGGTAATTTTTGTACTGTGTGGAGGAATGTTTTATTGATTTGTTTCTTAGAATTTTTGATAGCTCTTTACAATGCAAACTCCTTAAGGAACTTGCATAACGATTAGGCTGTGGGGATGACTGCAAAAGATGAAAAGCAGTGTGTAATGAGGATGCTTCCATACGGATTATGTGCTAAATGTATTTCTTTGAAGTGCTTTGTTAATGCACTTCATTTAATCTCAGTTGAGAAGGTAAGTTTTTGTTGTTTCACACTTAGATTTAATTTTTCGTATTCATTTGGAGTATGCTTTGTTTTGGAAACTTGACATTATATTAGTCACTTTTACAGTAAATTTTGTAGCAGTTTTTCTGTATGCATAATTGTAAGCATACTTAGTATTTGAATCTGTACTGTGATGTGCTATACGAGCTTTGTATTTATCACTTCTTGTCAATGCATTTCAAACAGGGAGCTTAAAATTAGTATTTTCTCCATTTTCAGATAGGGAAACCGTGGTACATGTAGGTGGAATAACTTGCCTTTGGTGACCAGAAGGTTAAGGATAGAGTCAGGATTAGATAATGGGTCTTGCAGATCCCAGTCCAATACCTTATCCAGTAGAAGAACCTGTAAATTTCTTTCTTAAAAGAAAGATTCTGAATTCTGCCATTCCTATAAGAATAGATACTGAATTTTTTTATGAAAGAAAATGAATTGAGCAAGAAAACTCTCAAATGATAAACTTCAAAATACTGATTTCAGGGCTGATGAATTTTTGATGAATATTAGGATGAATAAGAATTAATATCAGTTCTTGAAGTGTGCACTGCACAGGCAAGTCATTCAGCTTGGAAGAGCCAAGGCAGCTGTCTTGCTGAAGCAGTGTTGATGTGAAGCATCCTAAGGAGAGGAAAGGCTAACACAGCAGAACTAGAGAGCAGAGAGGCCAGCGGGAAGTGATGATGCTAGGAAAGGGAATCTATGTTAAGTGAAGAGCTTGTTATTTTTACCTGTATCCACATGTTCATTATGAACAGCTTTTTGTACTTGGCTTTTTCTTCCCCATCTCCTTTTCTACAGGCTGGGTTGGGAACAACATCCTGACCAGAGGGATTGTCAGGGAAGGGTAGTGCTATGCTGCTTTGGAAAAGCAGTAGAGTGCATAGTTGCATTTCTCTTCATGATCCAAACTGAATCTCATTAAAAAAAATAAATAAGACTTCTCCGCAGTGACATTTAGTTTGTTTTATATTAACTACATATTTGCCAATTGCTTGATTCTGAAATCTAATGCCAAGGTTTCCTTTTTTCCTTCTACAGTTCTTTAACAAACGAAAAACCTATTTTGCCCATGATCCATTGCAGCAGTGTGTTGTTGGAGACATTGTTCTTCTGAAAGCTTTGCCTGAGCGAAGGAGCAAACATGTGAAACACGAACTGGCTGAAATTGTTTTCAAGGTTGGAAATGTCATAGATCCAATAACAGGAAAACCCTGTGCGGGAACTAGATTCCTTGAAAATCTGTCAGATTCGGAAAATCTGACAGAGGCAGATACTACCTATCTAAGTGAAAAACTTCAGGAACTTAAAGTTTGTTCAACAGACAAATAGTGGGGAAAATATTTAAACAGAGGGCTTTTCAGCTTGTCTCTGTCAGGGGTGTTTGGGGCCCTGCTGTTGTATGTTAAATGTTTCAGTGAAATCTGTAGTCAAAATAAATAATGAATGTAGTTGCTTATAAGAACAGATGTTACAGATTGATAGGCACCTCAAATCTTTAAATGAAAATACAGAGAAAATGTGAGTTTAGTGTTAACATGTCATTTTATTGCATGTAGTTTTGCCCCAAGCCTTGACAGTTTCAAAAGCCAGCTGCTCACTTGGAACGATTTTTCTGTGTTGAGAAAGACAAGAATATAACTGTATGATGTTTAAGTTTGGTGGGAGGGTCATTACATTATTTGATTGTTCTGTATTTCAGACAGTCTTTTGTGGTTTGGAGGATTAAGTAAGATAATGCTATTAAACCTTTTGAAAGGAAGTGTAGAATTTTAAAACCAGATACCTGCATGTGTCCTTATTTCCTCTTACAGTTGCTCATACTCCATTGCAGTATCTTCTGACTTCCAAAATCTCTAACAAAACCATGGCACTTGCCTTTATAGTGGCAGTAAGGTGAGAGGAGCTTTGGGTAGCTTAGCATTGTTGCCTTTGTAACCTGTCCAAAGGAAGTATTTCATTCTGGGAGAGATGAATCTCTTTGAACTGCCAGCAGGAAATAGAAACTGATGAGAATACAAAGCCAAAAAAGTAGAAGTAAAGACAGTTAGATTTAGTCCCATTAGAAAAGCTAATTAAAACAACACATTTTGGCAGAGATACAGGTACTAATTTGCTGTATACTTTAATATGAAACTAGAAGGCTTTAGCTTTAAGATCACTTTATCCTGCTACAGCTCTGGGGATTTTGTGTCCTGTCTTCCAGGATGTAAAGCAAATTAAGAGTGTGAGCTGTTGCAGCAGCCTTGTGTTGCTGACTTTTCAGATCTAAAGTGGCATCTGCCTCAAAACCTAGCATTTGTGGGGACAGCATTCCATGTCCCTGTACGGAGGGGAGAGTGATATATTAAAGCTATAAGAAATCCTTTTTGAAGTGTCTACTTATGTCATTGGTCTTTGTTTAAGATCAGAAGCCAAACAAGGTGTATCTGAATAGAGTTCCTCTGACCTAAAATATCTTTCTTTAAGAAACTGAGCCAGCTTACACTAGTAAGCTATCAGTTGTGTTCTCTTCCATTGTCAGAGTGGTGTAAATCATTTGCCCTTTAACTTCCTTCACCTGCACAACATCAGTTTCAGCTGCCTGCAAACTGCTGACTATCCAATTGAACTTAGCAAATTATTTGGGCCAGGAAGAATGAGAAACTCAAATTTTCTTCAGTGCTTCAAACCAAAAAATACTGCCCTTTCATTGCTAGTCCTCAAGTACTGTCCTGCATGTCAGATCAATAAGGTGGTATGTCAAGACACCTTGATTGAAATGTCTCTGTGTAAATCAATAATGTGAACATGGTCTCTGACTTTGAGGAAGTGTCTTAAACATATGGCTGTAGGTTATTCTTGCTGATATGTTTGCTGAAGTAGTTTAGGTTTATGTAAATTACTTAGTAACTGTAGCTGGCTGATTAAGGCCCTCATCGAAGTGGAAGGAAACCTGGGCTCTGACTCCTGCTTGAGTGAATGTAAAATGTGAAACTTCATCCCTAGCAGAGCTTGAGAGAAATCAGACCCAGGCCCTGGCTGTAGGAAATACACTTAAGTTGTATCCAAGCAGGCAGTAGAGGACCTTGACCCTCAGTACTTGGGGTATGAGTGTTCTAACAACTAGGCATATAATGTCTATAAGAAATAGAAAAAGTTTCCTGTTTGGTTAATGAGTTGCATCTATGTCTAATTGGGGAAGTAAATCTTCTTTCCCTGTATTTCCTGTGATTTTTCTTGAGTAGCTGTGAAAATGTCTTATTTTTTCTAAGGTTGATTCATCACAGAAGGTTGTCAGTTTTTGTCAGTTTACAGGTAGGCTCTCAGAGGGTTGCTCGAGAACCCAACATGCTGTCAGATCAAAATGTGACGAAATGTACATAGTCTGAAGTGCAACTTGTTTTTAAAAGAATGATGGCAATTGTAGATTAAACTGGTTTTTAAAGAGGCACCACAAACATTGTCCTTTACTGAAGTTAAAGCATGTTGCACGTGCTAGCCTCTGACTTACTGTCACAGACTGCTGGTATCAAAATCATAAAATGGCAATGGACACTGCGTATGTGCTGTGTAGAAAGACAAGGTTTGCTCATTAACTTGTTTTCTATGTTTATTGGCTAGTTGCTTTTAGAACTGACCTTTAACTATTAGCCTAATTATAAGTTTATTCTTAATTTAAAGTTATTTAAGGGTTTGATGGTAGCACATGCAACCAGTTTAGCCAAATTAAATACTGCTGGAGCTGCAACAGTGTGAAGAAAACATTTCAACTATGCGTGAGTGAAAAATTTATTTGGGGAATAAGAAACAAGTTTTTGCATATAATTAAAAAAAATGCTTGGGCTCTTTCTTAGCGTTTTTCAGGCGAGACCCTAAACCGGGGCTGGGGGCACCCCAAGCGCCGAGCAGCCAGGGCAGGGAGGGGGGGCCCGGGTCGGGGCAGTCCGCGCATGCGCACCTGTGGCTCTCCCCTCGCGGGGGGGCGTGGCCGGGGGACCACC